TAAATTATGCATCCAGAGTGAATTCAACGTTAACTGCCTTTCAGTGCAACAGAAATAAATTAATATATACTATGTTGTATTAAGGAGGCAATTCATCAGAAGGAAAGAATGGACATATTTAAATTTACGCCAGATCCATGAAACCATAAAGAACTGATCTGAATTCTTCAATTAGAAATTATTTTCATATGTATCTAAAATTCAGTCAGATAAAGACTAGTTATTGGTGGAGAGCAATGTTCCCTCTAAGCTGTGGAGTCTTGTTAGCAAAAATTCTACTTTGTGAGCTACTGGCATTAAAGTTGTGAGCAGGCAATTTGGCTACTGCATAAATTCGTTTGCTCTGGAGCCATCCCTTCCTGAGCTAAGGCGAAAATGTGTGAGCCGGAGGCTAAAAAACTGTGAGCTAGCTCACACTAATTCAGCTTAGAGGGAACACTGGTGGAGAGATTGTATTTCACACCAGTGGATTGTGTCATTTCTCAGATCCAAATAATCTGTACCAGTCTAGATTCCTACTCAAAGGCAGCTGAATGTGACTTTATTTCCCCCACTGAAATGAGTGAAGCACCCTTGGAATTCTGTCAGATGTGGAAGAACCTCTGTCTGCAAAGACCTATCTCATCACCTAGGAGGCCAAACTGTTAGTGTGCATGCAAACGTGTTTTAAAATGAGACTTTGTAGTCCTCCCCCCCTCCCCCCACAGTGTAAGCCCATCTTCCTCCCACCCATATGCTGGACAGACATATCAGCTATCTGGACTCTGATTCAGTCATCTGTCTTTTCCCTCCCACCATGCTTCAGGCAGGCAGTCCACCTTTTAAAACATTTCTGAACAGCCATTTGAAGACGAAGAAGAGATTGGATTTATACCCCACCCTTCACAACCTGAAGGAGTCTCAGAGCGGTTTACAATCTCCTTTCCCTCACCCTCCCCGAAACAGACACCCTGTGAGGTAGGTTGGGTTGAGAGAGCTCTTTTGAGAACTGCTCGTGAGAGAAGAGCTCTGAAAGAACTTATGACTGACCCAAGGTCACACCAGCAGCTGCACGTGGAGGAGTGGGCAATCAAACCTGGTTCTCCCAGATTAGAGTCTGCACTCCTAACCACTACACCAAACTGGCTTCCTCTTAAATGTGGGTTTGTTACTTCACTTTTATTTTAAAATACAGCACATAATTTTAAAAAGTTACAGACTTATTCTGGAAATGGGATGTGTTTGTGGTTGTTGACATCACACATGCCAGCCAACCAGCACTGTGCATAGTCAGCTTGAACAGAAGATCGGTAAAAATGGGTTTTCAAAGAAATTGTTTTTCTGAACACAGCATCTTGAGTCCTTTTCCAAAACAGCTCAGCCACTCAGATAACATAGGTTCAAATGTATTTTCTAGGTTGGATAGGGTAAGATTCCAGAAGAACAGAGGGTTATGTATTCCAGTGTTGGGAACTCTCCACAGGTTCCTTGCTTAATCTGTGACTACTGCCATAGGGGACCCTGATTTATTTTATTTCTTTCCTAATCTCAAGGTTTTGTGTTCCCCATGAAGTTACCAGAACCTAACCCTTTCGACTATCCAAGTGCCACAAAACCCAACAGGAAGTAGTCCAGATATTTGTCCAAGAAGAAGGGTTGATCACCTGCAGTTCAAGAGTGCGTACATTCGGGATCAGGGCCTTCTTTCACCCCTTTCCAGAAGCACAGTTCAGATATAAACTGTGGTCCCATAAAGGAGGGCAGCCTGAAGAAAACAGTTTTGTTAGCTCAGTTCAGCCACCACTTGTTTCTAGGCCCCTTTCTGCCTTTGTTAGACAACTTGACTTGAGTCATTTCTTGGTGACTTCATGATTTGGTACAGCTTTGGGTTGATTGTATTCTTAGAATTCTCATTAACCAGTGTCTTCTGGATTTCTTTTGGTTATCATCTTCATTTATTAATGCAAAAGGCTGCTTGTGAGTTTTATAACTTTCATTATAGACTCTGCCTGAAAGGATTCTGGCGAGGACATCCTCTGCCCATGCACCGGAGCTCCCACACTGATAAAATATTGCTGAGCGCAATCATAATGGTTCCATTTTATGCTGAAAGATTAAATATTTATTGGTTAGTACAAATTAAGATTTATTTTAATAATTCAGATTTGTTATGCTCCTTTGTAGCACTTCAATTTCCTTAGGAAACTTCCAAGCGATTTCTGTCTTCATACATTTTCTTGAGCCCATGTTTAAAAAGAACTGAGTTAGCTACAAAGAGAAACGGTGCCATTTATGAGTATGTCCACACCCCAAATTTGAATTGGTTTAACAGTCATGAGTTTCTTGCAAAAATGCTGGAAACTGTAATGATCTTTCTCAGAGAATTTGCATTGCCCTCACTAACCAGTAATTCCTTGGGAGAAGCTATTAGAGTTAAGTTGTCTTCAAACTCTACGTAAATTCTGTAACTGTAAAATAATATATTAGCAGCTAAGTAAACTTTTCTTAATTCTCCAGAGTGGACTCCTGTGACATACTGTTACAGGGCAGCAGTGTGGTAGCTTCTCACAGCTGTCTGCTGTCAAGCATGAAATGAATGGAGGCTCTCAAGGTAGCTACTAATAGACAAGAATCCACAGTTTCTGGCTGGTGTCCTTATTATCAGTCTCAGCAGAGAGCTTGTTTGTTGAACTGAAATAGTACGAGACATAATTTGCCAGTTGAAGTAGTACTATGACTCATTGTGGCTACAGTAGCAAATGTAGCCATTGCTCTTAGGGTTGCCAGGTCTGTCGGATGAGCGGGCGGGGGGATGGTGGTGCACTCACCAGGAGCGGGGAGGGAAGAAGCCAGAAATAAACACAATAACATAGGCATGTCAGGGATGTCAGAGGCGATGCTCTGATTTGTGAGTAAAACCTCTGTGGTACAATTAACTATTTATCGTAGATTTTTGCCCAAAAACCAGAGCGTCACCACCTGACTTCACCGACATGCCTACATCATAGGCATGTTGCATTTATTTTTGGTTTCTTGCCTGTTTGGGAGGACAATTACCCCTCTGTTCCTGATAGCCCTGAAGCAGGGGGAGGGGCTCCAAAGCGGAGGATCCTTCGCCCCCAACTGGGGACTGCAACCCTAATTGCTCTTGTAGTAACTAACCTTGGGTATATGCATACACATACCAAGTTCACACAATCTGCTGCTCTCTCTGATAGAGAACAAGTTTTGGCACCACATCTCATTCCCAGCATGGTGTAGTGGTCAGAGTGTCAGACCAGGATCTGAGAGGCCCAGGCCCCCCCCTCTGCCACGGAAGCTCACTGGGTGTTCCGGCCAGTCACTGTCACGGTTGTTACGAAGCTAAAGTGGAGGAGGAGAGAACAATGTTGTAAGCCAGTTTGGTTCCCTATTGGGGAGAAAAGCAGGATATAAATATCTAACAATAATTCCAAGTCTAATTAGATCCCTTTTGCAGGTGTTCCTTTGCAACTGGCTAGTCCTCATTGAGCAAAAAATCAGAGACCATATTTAGTATAATGTTTTAATGTGTGAGTTGGTTCTGTACAAAAGCACAAGGAAGTAGGGCAGACCCAACTTTTCTCTCTGCTCCTATCTGTGGAAATTTCTGGAAGTACTACAAGAAGATGCAGAGGGAGAGTATGTGATTAGCATGTAGAGCAGTGTTCCCTCTAAGCTGAGTTAGTGTGAGCTAGCTCACAGTTTTTAGCCTCCGGCTCACACATTTTTGTCTTAGCTCAGGAAGGAGGGCTCCAGAACAAACTAATTTATGCAGTAGCCTAATTGTTCACTCACAACTCTAATGCCAGTAGCTCACAAAGTAGAATTTTTGCTCACAAGACTCCACAGCTTAGAGGGAGCATTGATGTAGAGGGTCCCGGGTTGAATCCATGTTCTCTCTGGTGAAAGAATTTCAGGTAGCAGGAAAAGACCTGAGTTTCTTGAGAGCAGCTGCCACTCAGAGATGAACTAGCAGCTTCATGTATTCAAGCAAAAGTGGAGATATGCCACATAAATTTGCATTTGAAAACAGCAGTTATATGGAAAGATTTTCCCCCCTTTTTGCTGATGCATATATGTTATCTCATCGGGCACCATCAGAAGAGGCCTTTCCTCCAGTGTGAGGTGCAGAGAAGAATGCCTCTTTTAGGAAGGTGTAACCCTCTTATGAGTTCGAAAGCAAGAAATTGCAAGTAGATAAATAGGTACTGCTTCGGTGGGAAGGTAACAGCATTCCGTGCGCCTTGGTGTTTAGTCATGCCGGCCACATGACCACAGAAACATCTTCGGACAGCGCTGGCTCTTCGGCTTTGAAACGGAGATGACCACCGCAACCCTAGAGTCAGACTCAACTGGCTTTCGAGCAAGGGAACCTTTACCTTTTTAACCCTCTTATGAAGACCAAACATGAGATGGATTGACTCAGTCGAGGAAGCCATGGCCCTCCGTTTGCAACACCTGAGCAAGGCTGTTGACACCGGGATGCTTTGGAGGTCATTCATTCATAGGGTCGCCATAAGTCGGAAGCGACTTGACAGCACTTAAACACACACACACAGCCCTCTTATGGATTAAGAAGTACTTACTTTTAAAAGATTATCCATTTTTTAAAAATCTGATGCCTGCTTAGTCAGGGGCACCTTTTTAATCTACCCAAAGATTTTAAACTGATGTTGGCTGCAGTCCTTCCTGGGAGTAGCCTCACTGAATGGGGACACACTTCTCAATAGACCAGTTTAGAATTGCTCCCTAAATGTTAGAGGCTGGATGAATTCCCAGGGCAACTGTGGACAAAACCAATTTTAAAATTAGCAGAAAGGAGGGGAGGGAGCAAGGGAAAACAAAACGGGACAGAACATGATACAGAGGAGATCTTCGCTTTGGGTCCTGAAATTCATTCTTTCGGGGGGGGGGGGGGGGTGTTTTTTTAGCTTGTTTGTTTAGTGTTCAGGTGCCTGAGCGTTCTCTTGTGAATAAGTATATTTTGTCTTCTCTTCCAGGAATCTGGATTAAGATTTCACTATGTGGCTGCTGGTGAGAGGGGGAAACCACTAATGCTGCTACTCCATGGCTTTCCAGAGTGCTGGTAAAACTCTTTGCTTTTCTTTCCTTTTGTTAGCTAACACCACATGGGTGTCTGGTTGCATAAGTATGAGATCAATACATCCATTGTGCTTCTGTTATTTATTTTTATTGTTGTGCCACCTTGTCTAATAGGTCTGCAGTGAATAGCTATTATCTATAATAAGGATCATCTTGTGATAATTATTGTGATGGTACATAGTGCACGCACTGCTGGGAACATAAATCGTAGGGCAATTCCATGTAATCCCAGTTTAAAGATTTCAAATCTAATCGTAGCTTTGCTGTTTAGTGATATCAGCCCAAGTTGTCGTCTTCGGTGGATTTTTCCATGTTGACTTGAAAAGAAAAAGCTCAATGAACAAAAAAGATGTAGCTGCAAAGAGAAATATTTATTGTCCGTATAACAGATAAATCCCAAAGCATTTTGAAATGCATTCTTTATGCATCAGTTCTCAACAATTTCAAAAGCACGTTTGGAAGTTGCTTGTAACACAGATTACACAGAAAGAGTCAGCTGTCTGTCATTCTAGGTGCTTGTTTGGGCATGCGCAGCCAATCCCTGGTACCAGGTCACCAGACCAAAGCACTTAGAAATTTCATTCTGGTGCCTTGTATTTTAACAGTAATCTTGTTGTATCTCTCAGTGATCCTTGGTGGAAGAACAAAACTCACTTATCATTTTGCATCAGAATATGTTCTGTTGTATTTCACAACAATAAATGAGTGTGGAGTTCTTATCATTGCTAGTTTATATGTAAACTTTGATTTATGCTAATTGGTAGTGGTAGATGAAGGTTTTTAAAAGCAATAATGAAATTATGAGGAATTGTGGAGAAGATGTTAGTTTAGGGTTAGCAGATTTTTTTTGTCACAGTAATGAGAACCAGCATTATCCTTTTATTTATTTACATACCACTGGAGTGGATTGGAGGGGGGAATGGCCACGGAAAAGGGCTCCACCCCTACCCTGCGTCACCACGCTCCACCAGTGGAGGGAGATAGAACTTGTCTAACCAGCCCTGATCAAGAGGTGCCCAGCCAGCCTGCATAGCGAGGCAGGGTGAGACCAGGCAGACCCCTGTGTGGGGCTGGGCTAGGCCTTTCCCTTGCCAATGGTGGGGAGACCAGGCCAGGTGCATCCCTAACCATGGGCTGGGTGGGTGAGTCCCTTGCCATGGCTGGGCAGGCACACTTAAGGATGGGCCAGGCATGTCTTCTCCCACACTGGGTGTGATGAGGCCAGGCCAGGTTCCTCCCTCCCCATGTCTCCAGCTTAGAGTTACAGTGGATCTTGCCCTCCCCTGACTTTGTGCTGGGGTTGCCCTGGTAGGGGAAGATCAGGCTAGGTGTATCCCTTGCTGTGGTGATCAGGATGGACAGTGACATAAAAAAACGAATCAGGCACACCATGTTGAGTAGGGCAAGGCAGGGCCAGATGCCTCCTTCCACTTGCCTCTGACTCACAATAGCAGCAGAATCCATCCACACCTCCATTTGGGCTAGCTGGCCTTGGCTGGAGGGAGGAGACCAGGCCAAGTGCATCCCTTGCCAAGGAAAATAGGCTGGGTAGGCACATTCCTTACTGCAGCTGGGCAGGAATGTTAAGGGATGGACTAGGTACATCCTTTTGCCATGCTGGGTGGAGCAGGGCTTGGCCAAGGTCTTCCTTCCCCTTGTCTCTGGCTCGCAGTGGCAGTGGATTGCAACCACACCTCTATCGGGGATGGGGTGTCTTTGGCAGGCTGAGCCCTGTTGGAAGGGTTGTCCCCCCCCCCCCCCAGGCCATCTCCCTACTGCAACTTTTCCCTTTGGCCTTAATGGTCAATCTGCCCCTGCATACTACAACATTCTTATTGTAGAGTTAATAAAATTATAAGAAACTGTGAAGAGAGTATATTTTTAGGTTTTGTGCCTGCAAGAATAAGACCTAGTCACTCAAATATAAAATCCTGGAGACTGAACAAGTCTGGTTCCTAAAATTTTGGGCTGGTTTATATATGCTTATAGTTACATATGGTTTTTTTTAATGCTAATGAAAAGTGAGAATTTGAAATGTGTAGTGATTTCTTTTGACAACTAAAGATTTTCTAAAAATGGTGACCTTACAAATTAATAGCATCCTGTTGAGAGGCAGAAGTAGATAAAGGGAAGTGGATTTGAGGAGCAAGAAAGAAGACTGAGACATGATTCATAAAAACCCTTCAGTAATGTTTGTGTACACACATATATGTGTCTACATATACATATATACACACACACACATATACTTACACACATATGCATACACATATGCAAACATACACACACACATATATATGTATACACACATATAATTGTGTATATGTTTGAGTATATATAACCATCTCTAGTGGTAACAACACTGTGTCTGTACCTAATAAACGTCTATTTCTCAAATATATGGGTGTGGGTGGTGGAGCTGTTCCTGATTCACTAAAGTCTTGTGGTTTAGAAGTGGGATCCATGCTGAAAGAAGGGAAGGAAATGGGCAGAGGAGGAGAGGTTCAAACTGTGAAGGAAGAACAGCCTTGCTTTGGAGATGACAGATGGTCAGGTCTTGCTAGAAGCTGACCTTGGAGGAGGGGAACATGAACAATGACTATCAGCTACTTGGGGTTAACAGCACATTCATGGGGAAGGTACTACTTACAAGTAGGAAAGTTAAGATTAGAACAGGAAATGGAAGCAGATTGAACAGCTGTCTGTAACACGCAGAAGAGAGAGCCCGAAATTAAAGCTAACACAAACTCCTTTCAGATAAACCCTGTGAACAATGAGGAGATGGCCTGTTCCTCCTTTTGAGGCCTTGGGCAGCCATCTGGAGTGAACCTCAAGGAGGATCTCACTGGTGAGTGTGAGGCAGACCATCCTTCTTATGTATCAACTTTTTTTGTAGCTCTAGCAATGATATTTTAGCTGGGTTTCCTTTTGGCAGCATTTGTGTGAGTTCGTCATCCCCCAGCATTAGAGCTGCCAGCCCCCCCCCCCCGGGATGCCCCCCCCCCTGCCGCCCATCAGCTGGCCAGCAGAGGGACTTAGCAGCAACAGGGGGAGGCCTAGGATGGCGATGTCATTTCTGACGTGCACCAGAAGTAAGGTTGCCAGATCCTACCTGGATGCTGGCACGGGGATCCAGCCTCTCCTCCAGGATCTTCTGGTGCACACGCTTTGCATGCATGCCCCAATGACATCACTTGGAAGTGATGTTATCATGTCAGGGGGCAATGCTCTAGTTTTTGGGCAAAACTCTATGGGTTTTTTGCCTTCAAAACCATAGAGTTTGCCTAAAACCTAGAGTATCGCCCCTGATGTCCCCAACATAACGTCACTTCCTGGTGATGTCATCATGACAGGACGTCACAGGGCAATGTTCCTGTTCGGGAGTGGGGCTTCCTCCACTGACCAGCTGGCCAGCAGTGGGAGGGAGCCCTAGACATCGGGGGAAACCCCGCCAAGACTGGGGGTGTGGCAACCCTGACGAGAAGTGATGTCAGCATGTTCCCGGTGACACCAGACACTCTGGTATTTGGCAAATACCATCATCCATAAAGATTTTACCCAAATTTCAGGGCATCACACATTGCCAGTGAGGCCACTGTATTGCCACACTAGGCCCATAAGCCCCCCCCCCCTGCCAATTGACAGGAGGGACCTGGCAACCCTACCCATCATGTCTGTGATGTTGCAAAGCGTGCTGGAGTTGGGAGTAAGCAGTGAAGTGGCTAAATTTGCAGATGATACGAAGTTGTTCAGGGTGGTGAAAACCAGTGAGGATTGTGAGGCACTCCAAAGGGATCTGTCAAAGATGGGCGAGTGGTCGTCAACATGGCAAATGGGGTTCAATGTGGCAAAGTGCAAGGTGATGCACATTGGAGCCAAAAATCCTAAATATAAATACACGTTGATGGGGTCTGAACTGGCAGAGACTGATCAAGAGAGAGATCTTGGAGTTGTAGTAGATAACTCACTGAAAATGTCGAGACAGTGTGTGACTGCAATAAAGAAGGCAAATGCTATGCTGGGGATTATTAGGAAGGGTATTGTAAACAGATCAGCCAATATCATAATGCCGCTATATAAATCAATGGTGCGACCTCATCTGGAATACTGTGTGCAATTCTGGTCACCACACCTTAAAAAGGATATTATAGCTTTGGAAAAAGTGCAGAAAAGAGCAACTCGAATGATAAAAGGGTTGGAACACTTTCCCTATGAGGAAAGGTTAAGGCGCTTAGGGCTCTTTAGCTTGGAGAAACGACGACTGAGGGGTGACATGATTGAGGTTTATAAGATTATGCATGGGAAAGAGCAGGTAGAGAAAGAGGTACTTTTCTCCCTTTCTCACAATACAAGAACCCGTGGGCACTCCATGAAATTACTGAGCGGTCGGGTTAGAACAGATAAAAGGAAGTACTTCTTCACCCAAAGAGTGATTAACACATGGAACTCATTGCCACAGGAAGTGGTGGCAGCTACAAGCATGGACGGCTTCAAAAGGGGATTAGATAAGCATATGGAGCAGAGGTCCATCAGTGGCTATTAGCCACAAGGTATAGATAGGGACTCTGGGGCAAGTGATGCTCTGTCATCTTGGTGCTTGGGGGGGGGTCAACAGTGGGAGGGCTTCTAATGTCCTGGCCCCACTGGTGGACCTCCTGATGGCACTGGTATTTCTGGCCACTGTGGGATACAGAGTGTTGGACTGGATGGGCCTTTGGCCTGATCCAACATTGGCATCTCTTATGTTCTTATGTTCTTATGGATGACCAGATGCAGCTTACACGTGGGGCACTAACAATGGTGGGGAAAGTGTGAGTTCAGAAGTAGCCTTTGAGCTCATGTGCAATATCTGATACTGGCAGCATCTGCATGTTGTTGGGTATTGCACTGGTGTTTCACTAAAGCTTTCATTAAAAATGGATTTTCTTATCTGCGCAGGAATATCCAATTGCAGATGATAGTTGTAGAGCAGTGATAGCACAT